ACTTCAGGCATGATTGGATCTTCTGCCTGAGAAGAATGGACAAACAACCATATAACTGACTACTCATTCCAACATTTACCCCATCTTTTTGTCTCCCCACCTTTATCCAGTTTCTACTCTCCTCCCCTCTCTCCTCTTATTTCTGCAGCATTCAATTCACGTAAATCAACTGCGCCTAACATGAAAATCTGTATTGAAGGAATAGTCTTGAGAAACATTTATAAACCCATTTGTCTGACTTTTTCCCAGCATAACTATTATTGTTTATTGCTCTTATTCATTCAGTTATTCATCCATCCATTCCACAAATCATCATTATGCATCATACCAGACACCATTCCTTGTACTGAGGATACTCAGTGTTCACAATAGGCAAAGTCCCTGTTCTCAAGGAACTTACTTTTCAGTATAGTAGACAGTAAATAGACATACCACTAACAGACTGTCAGGCAGGAGTGAGTGCTAAAAAGGAGAGCAATGGGGTAGTTAGACAAAGCCTCTGAAAAAGTGCCATTTGAGAACCTAAGTAAGCAAGGAGACAGGCCATGTGGATATCTGAGGAAGCAGTGTTAACAACAGAGGGAGCAGCAAGTGAAAAGGCCTTGAAAAGAGTATGGGATTGGAGTTTTCCAGAAACAAGGTAACAAGAGTATGGATGAAGTTGAAAGCTCAAAAGGGAGAGAGGTATGAGTTTGAGAGTTGGACAAAAAGATTTTTGGCTTTTATTCATGGATGTTATGCAAACCCCTGAGCCCTGGATTGATCTGAGTGGGGAGGCAGCACAGTCTGAGGAAGGTCCAGGTGTCATTTGGAGAGTGGTGGGGGAGGAGCATCTGGAGAGGGGAAGATGGAAGACTAGGGAGGTTTCTCCAATCCCCTGTCATTGCCTAATAATTTTAAGAGTCTATCCAAGTTTGGGAATATGAATATTATGGGAAAACAACACTGTAAAACAGCTTCTTTAAACAAGACTGCTGAAGTCACTCTGTAGGACTGGCTCCCTACCATGAAATCTGCTTTGAACCTAACCATGAGAGCAAGGTTCCCAGCTGCACAGCTCCTTCAGGGCCTGGAAGCCGCGTGGATTCACTGAACACCACCCTCTTACCAATTTAGGATTCTACCTTTCACTTTCTTTTACACGCAGAGATTCTGACAGCTTTATAAAAAAATAATAATAGCTTGGAATCAAAAATTCAATATTAGCTTCTTGAAAAAAGATAAGGTTTCTACTAATAAAATGATGTGTATTTACTATGAACAGTAAATTTACCTCTGAAGCAAATGCTCGAAAAAAATTACCTTTCAAAAATTCACCTTCTTGTAAGGCCTTCAGAAAAAAAATTGTGAATGATCTCCTAAATTGTTAAAATCTGGATTTTTTTTACCATGGCACATACACACACAAAAACCTTCCCTTCACATTCTCATTATAAGGAAGATGAGAAAGCAAGTCTCCTTCTCTTGAGGAAAAATGACTTTTGGTAAGTGGATGTGATTTTAAAACAAAGGACCTATCACTTCAGATTGTAAAAACAAATTCAACATTTTGTTTTACTTTCTTTGTTAAACACCAGTCTGGATAGAATTTTTAGTGGCATGAGAAATCTGTGAAAGTAAGTTCGGAATCCATAAGTAGTAATTTTGTAACATTACCTTGGACTTATTGAGAAGTAAGTAGTAACTTTTTAAATTATAAGAAAGAAAAAGGACACCTGATATATTAATGCAAAATATAAATTATCAATTTATCATCACTAGGCTCCCCATTCCTCATATATATGTGTGTGTGTTGATATAGATATAGATATAGATATAGATATACATATACATATACATATACATATACATATACCAGTGGCCCGGTGCATGTACATTAAAAGGGAATTAATTAGAGGAAATATTTTATTATTGTTATTTGCCCTTTCACTATAATAGAAGTGTCAGAGATGAAAGAATATTAGTAAAATGTATATGAAAAACTTCCTCCAGGCATAGTCTGGGGCGCACTGCAGGACCCAGAGTCAAGTCCCTGCCCACCTGTATGTGCCTTGAAATTGCGAGAGACCCAGACCTGGCCGGCCCCACCCCCGTCAAGCCCCACACAGTGGGAGGCACAGCCTCAGGTCCCCTGGTCCTGGTGCCAGGGTGGGGGGTGTGGCCTCAGGTTCCCCAGCCCAGCCTCAGGTCCCTCAGCCCCAGCACAAGGGCGTGAGGGTGGGATGACCATTTGCATATTAGTTCTTTATTATATAGGAGATATATATACTAGAGGCCCAGTGCATGAAATGGGGGGTGCATGAAATGGGGGGTGTCCCTCAGCTAGGCCTGCACCCTCTCCAATCTAGGACCCCTTGAGGGATGTCCGACTGCCCTCTCACAATCTGGGACTGCTGGCTCCTAACCACTTGCCTGCTTGCCTGATTGGCCCCTAACTGCTTCTGCCTGTCCGCCTGATCACCCCCTAACCACTCCCCTGCCAACCCGATCGCCCCCAACTGCCCTCCCCTGCCAGCCATCTTGTGGTGGCCATCTTGTGGCAGCCATATTGTGATGACATGAGGGTGTCGTGCAAGGGTGTGAGGATCACCTAGGCTTTTATTAGTGTGTGTGTGTGTGTGTGTGTGTGTGTGTGTGTGTATTTATAAAATTTTTATCCAGCTTGCCTGAGATGTTTTTGTTTAAACCTCTGGCAATCCTAATTATCACCTAGCTTCCCCAAATTCCATCACACCCCTGTCCTAATCACTGAGTACTACTCAACTGCCTGAGTCTATCATTGCCTGCTGGGGTCATGCCAAAGAAAGTAGACTTATTTTTTAGGCAATGTGAGTCCATTGAGATTTCAGATATAGAAATAATGTACTTTTTCATATACATTTTATTCAAACACATGTTGTGCATTAACTGTGCAACAGTCACT